CCCAACGCCTCCCACAAGGACATGATCGACAAGCAAGTCGTCCACGGCCATGTGGTCCCCAACCGCGTGCTGTTTACGAGGACGGTGACCAGCTCGGCCAACCAGTACGAGAGCTTAGCCTTCACCGATAACCTCAAGGTCTTCATTACGATGGAAAACGTGACGGTCGGAGAGGGAGAGGAGATGGCGTGTAAGTTTTTTTGTTTTTTTTTTTAGGGGGGAGGGGGGGAGGGGAGGGAAGGGATATATACATACACTCATACATGCACACATACATGCACATACACATACACATACACATACACATACACATACACATACACATACACACACACACACACACACACACACACACGCACACGCACACACACACACACACACACACACGCACACATACACACACACACACATGTATTTGCGTATGTATTTACATACACACTGACATATATATTACAGTATATTATAAAATAAATTCTGTTTTTTTTTCTAAATATACGCAAAATCAATTCTGTTTTTTTCCCTAAATATACGCACTATTTACCCAACCCGTCCTTCGCAGATTACGTCACTTCTGTTTTTTCTAATATACACAAAATCCTTTTTTTTTTCTAAAATACGCAAAATCCATTCTATTTTTCTCTAAATATACGCACTATTTACCCAATCAATCTTGTTTTTTCCCCTAAATATACGCACTATTTACCCAATCAATTCTGTTTTTTTTTTTTTCTAAATATACGATTTTAGGATTTTAGGATTTTTTCCCCTAAATATACGCACTATTTACCCAATCAATTCTGTTTTTTTTTCTAAATATACGATTTTAGGATTTTAGGATTTTTTCCCCTAAATATACGCACTATTTACCCAATCAATTGTTTTTTTCCCCTAAATATACGCACTATTTACCCAACCCGCCCCTCGCAGATTACGTCAAGAGCAACACCATAGCCAGCGACGTATCGCATAAGAAGGGGACGGTCCTAGCCAGAATAATCAAGGGGAACGTGCCAGTCAGGAACGGCGTTGTTCACTTCATCGACCGCTCGCTGATGGTCGTCACGTCGAGCATCATGCTGTATCTGCAGGTGAGGCTTCTTTGTTGTAGTTGTTCCTAAAGTGAGGCTTCTTTGTTGTAGTTATTCCTAAAGTGAGGCTTCTTTTTTGTAGTTATTCTGCAGGTGAGGCTTCTTTGTTGTAGTTGTTCCTAAAGTGAGGCTTCTTTTTTGTAGTTGTCCTTAGAGTGAGGCTTCTTTGTTGTGGTTATTCTGCAGGTGAGGCTTCTTTGTTGTAGTTGTTCCTAAAGTGAGGCTTCTTTGTTGTGGTTATTCTGCAGGTGAGGCTTCTTTGTTGTAGTTGTTCCTAAAGTGAGGCTTCTTTTTTGTAGTTGTCCTTAGAGTGAGGCTTCTTTGTTGTGGTTATTCTGCAGGTGAGGCTTCTTTGTTGTAGTTGTTCCTAAAGTGAGGCTTCTTTTTTGTAGTTGTCCTTAGAGTGAGGCTTCTTTGTTGTGGTTATTCTGCAGGTGAGGCTTCTTTGTTGTGGTTATTCTGCAGGTGAGGCTTCTTTGTTGTGGTTATTCTGCAGGTGAGGCTTCTTTGTTGTGGTTTTTCTGCAGGTGAGGCTTCTTTTTTGTAGTTATTCTGCAGGTGAGGCTTCCTTTTTTGTAGTTGTTCTTAGAGTGAGGCTTCTTTTTTGTAGTTGTCCTTAGAGTGAGGCTTCTTTGTTGTAGTTATTCTGAGAGTGAGGCTTCTTTTTTGTAGTTGTCCATAGAGTGAGGCTTCTTTGTTGTGATTATTCTGCAGGTGAGGCTTCTTTGTTGTGGTTGTCCTTAGAATGAGGCTTCTTTGTTGTGGTTATTCTGCAGGTGAGGCTTCTTTTTTGTGGTTATTCTGAGAGTGAGGCTTCTTTGTTGTAGTTATTCTGCAGGTGAGGCTTCTTTGTTGTGGTTATTCTGAGAGTGAGGCTTTTGTAGTTATTATTTGTTGTAGTTGTTCTTAGAATGAGGTTTCTTTATTGTGTTTATTCTTAAAGTGAGGCTCCCTTTTTTGTAGTTGTTCTTAGAGTGAGGCTTCTTTTTTGTAGTTGTTCCTAAAGTGAGGCTCCTTTGTTGTGGTTATTCTGAGAGTGAGGCTTCTTTTTTGTGTTTATTCCTAAAGTGAGGCTTCTTTTTTGTAGTTGTTCTTAGAGTGAGGCTTCTTTTTTGTAGTTGTTCTTAACCCATTGCCGCCGGGGAAAATGAACAGAAAATGGGGGAAATGCAGTACTCATTTTTTAGATTTTTGTGAAATATCTATAGATGGCTCTGCTAGTCCTGATTTCACCTTTCCTTGAATTGGCGGGAAAAAAACGTATTCTTACTAGTGCTATAAATATAGATGGTGTTATTTTTAACAGCAAATTAGGATAACGTTAAATATTTTCGTAAATCGATGAAAAGGGTGAACGGGCGAGACAGGATGTACTCGTAATTGCTATGTACATGCTGCTAACGATGCCTTTA